TCAGTATTGAAAAAAAGGATTGAAAATCCGGCGAGCAGGAGGTCGGGGGTGGAGATGAGCCTGCCGGAAGAGATGAGACTTGCGGGGGAGACATGGTGGCGCTGGGAGGTGGCGGAGGTTGCAGCAGCTTGCCGGAGCAAACCGCCGGCGGCGCAGCTAGGAGACAGTGGCGGTGGTCGGAAAAAATTGGCCAAAGAAGATTGGAAAAAATTCTAGAGAGAGAAAGTTAGAGAGAAGGGAGAGCATTTTTTCTCTGTAATTTCTCTTGTTGCTAGGTTAGTTGTGTTTTGCTGCTAGGTTAGTTGTCTTTTGTTGCTAGGTTAGTTCTTTCTTGCTACTAGGTTAGTTGTCTGATGCTGCTAGGTTAGTTGTCTTTTGTTGCTAGGTTATTTCTTTCTCGCTGCTAGGTTAGTTGTCTTTTGTTGCTAGGTTAGTTGTCTGTTGTTACTAGGTTAGTTGTGTTTTGTTGCTAGGTTAGTTGTCTGTTGTTGCTAGGTTAGTTATTTGTAGCTGCTAGGTTAGTTGAGTTTTGTTGCTAGGTTAGTTGTCTTAAGTTGCTAGGTTATTTCTGTCTTGCTGCTAGATTAGCTGTCTTTTGCTGCTAGGTTAGTTATCTGTAGCTGCTAGGTTAGTTGTGTTTTGTTGCTAGGTTAGTTTTCGATGCTGCTAGGTTAGTTGTATTTTGTTGCTAGGATATTTCTTTCTTGCTGCTAGGTTAGTTGTCTGATGCTGCTAGGTTAGTTGTATTTTATTGCTAGGTTATTTCTTTCTTGGTGCTAGGTTAGTTGTCTTTTGTTTGCTAGGTTATTTATTTCTTGCTGCTAGGTTAGTTGTCAACGAGTCAACGCTGGAGTCAACGCTGGAAGTCAACGATTTTCACCGGAAGTCAATGATCAACGCCGGAGTCAACGGTCAACGCCGAAGTCAATTAATAATTATTTTATTATTTAATTAATGTATATTTTGATTGATTTTGATCTAGACAAAATGAGTGGCTAAGATTGAGTCTCACGTACTCATTTTAAGGAGTGGTCTCATTGGATCCATCCCCTATATATATCACCTTGTGCCCCTTGTGACTGTTGAGAAGACGAGCTTGTCTGTCCACGCGAAGAAGTGATCGTACGGCTCGATTTCTGACCTCGCGATCTATCCCTGTACTCCCAAGCAGATGGTTTACGCTTAGTTGAATTGGTTTTCTTGGGACGACCTCGCGGGTTTTCCTTAACCTCAGGTTCCACATAATCCTGTTGGTCAGGGTAAAGCTTACTGTACATGAACTGATTCATGTACCGCATTGTCGCGGGATCGCCCGCTTCAACCTCATTCACAAGCGTCCGACAGAACTCCGCATCTGATCATGCACCCTGGCTCGCCTGGCTCTGGTACCCGTCCCTACAAGTATACAATAAAAAATTTAATGAATTAAACTAAATAATGTACTTTAATTACATAAATTGTAATTAAAAATGAAACAACAAGTAGAAAATTCTAAATGAAACATTAACCTTAATTTACCTGGCTCTAACATCTCTAGCGTTCTCCAAAACTGGTGAATCATTCCCAAATCAATCGGAAGTTTAGACTCATATGCCGTACGGAGCAGACAGGCACAAGGAAGTCCATGAGTGACTTGCATCAGCCGCAGCGATCGTAAACTTCATAGCTCAAGTCATACATCCTCGTAACCTCAGAGTCTAATAAACTCAGGCAGTAATGCGAGACCCTCAGTATCACGCTCGCAAAAAGGATTCCCTTAAACTGCGTACTCTTCCTAGCTCTCGAAGCCTCAAGCGCTGACCTGATAATACATTACATAACATTAGATTATAATTAATGCAGTAATATAATAACACAGTTAAAAATGCAGTATGTACTTGATTTCAGTCAATTGAGAATCGATCTCCTTATTAATCTTCTGCCAAATTGTATCAAGCGCGCCAGTGGACGTGTGAAGCCACTGCTTCAGCACAGAGCGGGCACTCTCCACCCTACAGGAAGTTGTGTTTCCAAAATGTGTTACTTGGTTGGTCCAAGCTTTCACAAACTTCTCCTTGTGTTCTAACCATGTGTTCTCCACATACTGTACCACCTGTGGAGACTTTGAGTATTTTGCGCGCATCTCGGCAACGGCATCGTTGTAGTCATCGAACGTACTGGCCTCAGCAATCGCCTTCCACGTACTGTGCGTGAACATCTGCGAGAACTTTTTACTGTTCCCAAAGAGTTTGTAGGCTTTGTCTTCCACATCTTTGTTGATGTGCCACATGCAAAGTAAGTGGGCTGATTCGTGAAAATGTGTTTGAATAGGAGTCATTAAACCCAACTCTCTATCACTGACAACCACATTAGGATATACGTCCTGGCCTATCAGAAGTCTCAACTTATGTAGAACCCAGTCGTAACTTGCCTCTTTCTCATCCCTGATGAGCGCATACGCAATTAGGAAGTTCTAGTTGCACGGTGTCATCCCAACGTCTCGACTAACGTCATCTTGTACCTGTGCAAATAAGACCAAAAAGACAAAAAATATAATCACATAAAACTTAACTTAATCAAACATACTATTTAAGATTCATACTAATAAAGTATTTATAAAGTACCATACCTGTTGGTTTTGTACGTGGAATCTATGCCGACATACCAGTGATATGTCCGAAATAGATTAACCGATGCAGGATGGGCCATGAATATATGCGTCTACGCTTTCGTGTTTGGATCGGCTTCTGCATAAACTATATACTCGCTTCTCATGGCCAAATGCATAAGCTGGGTAGGAACGTCTCTACGCTCGTAACACTCTTTCGGCAACTTTCCTCTAAAATTATATACCTGTCACCGATTAGCGTTAATTATAATGATTATTATAATTTAAAATAAAAAAATTATTATATTAATAAAGAAAAAATATATTAATTAATTTATTTGATAAAAAAATTATTAACTATCATAATAATAATACATTACTAAATATAATAAAATTTATTAATTATTACAATAACTATTAGATATAAAAAAATTACTAATTATTATAATTAATTTCAAATTAATTTAATTAATTCTTAGTATTAATTTAAAATTTCACTTCAAAAAGTTAATTAAAACATATATTACAAAATATAAGTATATATATTTATTAAAAGATACACATATATTTATTATACTTGTCGCTGATTAAGGTTGTCTCCCGGATTTTTTTTCCTGCAGTGCGGCCAAAATTTTTGCCGGGGCCACGTGAGCGTCAGTCATATCACGAATAATATTCTTAGATGAAGCACTGAGGCCGCTCAACTGCCGATGATCCTCAGGATACACAACAAAGGAATGGTTATGGTAGCCCTTATCTGGTTTATTGCTACATCTATGGATCATCCAATATGACAAATGTGGCACATTTTTTACTTTTATCTCAAAAGGGCAATGCACTTATTCGTTTTTTTTTTTTCTGGAATTTCCGCCTTTGCCTCTGTAGCGTTCGCCTCTATGACACTTCAAAACCTTCACCATCCCTTTCTTTGTGTGTTTCGAAATTATTAATTGAAAACCATTCAGAATTGCCTGTTGTTTTGCAGATTCAATAGCCTCCTCATCACTAATAAATAATGAATGAGTATCGAAACCAAGACTGTAATCAATACCATCTCCTCCAAAATCTTCCCATGACTCCTGCAATATAGTACAATATTTATATTTTTAAAATAAGTTAAATTATAATCTATAATATAATAATTTCTAAGTTCTAACATTATAACATCTTCATTCTAATGTATAAAATAATTAATTCAAACATGTAACATAATAATTTGTAACTCATAACACGATAATATCTAACGTCCAATTTATAGTATAATCAAGTCTAACATGTAACATAATAATTTATAACTCCTAACACGATAGTATCTAACGTACAATTTATAACATAAACATGTAACATAATAATTTGTAACTCCTAACACGACAATATCTAACGTTTAATTTTTAACATAATCAAGTCTAATGTACAATTTTGTAACTCCTAACACGATAATATCTAACGTCCAGTTTATAACATAATCAAGTCTAACTTGTAATATAATAATTTGTAACTCATAACACGATAGTTTCTAACGTCCAATTTATAACATAACCAAGTCTAACATGTAACATAATAATTTGTAACTCCTAACACGATAATATCTAACGTCCAATTTATAGCATAATTAAGTCTAACATAACATAATAATTTGTAACTCCTAACACGATAATATCTAACCTTCAATTTATAACATAATCAAGTCTAACATGTAACATAATAACTTGTAACTCCTAACACAATAATATATAACGTCTAATTTATAACATAATTATTTCGAATATATAACATAATAATTTATAATAATATTAAAAAAAAAATTCGTCCGACCGGTCGAATCAGATGGACCGGTCATGACCGTCCGTCGCCGCCGGACGTCTTTTAGACCGTCCAGCCGGCCGGTTCGTACAAAGCCCGTCCGACAGGATGGAAATTGCGAATGGCTTTTAGACCGTCCTAACCGACCGGCCGGACGCCTTTTGGACCGTCCGGTTCCGGCAATCGAACGGTCTAAAAGCCGTACGTGATTGCCGTCCAGACGGTGAGAAATCGTATCTCGGAATTTGAAGAAATTTCGCCGTAGATTTTACTGAGATGTTTGAAAAAAATGAAAAGAACAAAATCGTCTAAGGGAGACGGTGACTAGTAATAGGACGGTAAACAGTAATGACCATTATTTTTTGTTCTGTATTCGGATTCCTTTTGTCAACTCTGAATTCTTAAAAGGAACCCCTTTTAATTATAACCCCAAATGACCCAATCCCTATAATAAAATCATATTCTTGAATGTGTCACGTTTCAACCACACGCCATGGACGATTGTGATTCACTCTCGGAGCGACGGAAATCTACACAATCCTTAGATTTAAAGATAAGCTTTTTCTCCCCTGTGATCTCAAGAAGATTTTGAACTGCACTAATTAAAAAGGGAGCTTTTTCATATTTATTTCCACAAACAGTGTCACTCTCTTTTAGACGTGCGATTAATTTAATTACCTATGAAGAAAAAGAAAGCGCGTACTTTTTTGTACAGGGTAAAAGGTTTGGGGGTCAACGGGAGGCGCATTTTTAGCCCACCATCTGTTCGTAAAATGACGGAATCGAACCTGATATTATTGCCTCTTCTGTTTTATGGTTAGTAGTACAAAATGATGATTTCTTTTTTAGCCTTTTGTACTACTGAGGTGAGGAGTACACTAAAGTACTCAACCCAATCAATAGTCTTTATCAAGATTTTCAATGGTGGTTGGTTAAAGCCTTCAATATCTTCTGCTTTAAATTGGGAAAATTCCTCTTCCCATGAGCACGCCGGCTGCATATCTCAGTCTTTAGTGATTTGTGAGTGGGAATTTGAAGAAAAATCCAGTGTGGGGTTTGTGCCATTTAATGCCTTTCTAGACCTGGGCAGTTGAAATAATTCTTTTTTCTTCTTCTTCTTTCGTTAAGACTAGACAACAAGAAAAAAAGGATAAACAAATTGGTTCCATCCAGTTCAAGTGAGAAAGTCATCTATCTGCTCAAGTGAGAATGATTTTTTTATTTATATTCGCAAAAAAAAAAAAAAAAAACNGTTGCATTACAAACAGGTTAAAGAAAAAAAAAAAATGGGCACAAATGACATGGAAGAAATGATGGAAATAGAGAGGAATGAAGTGGAAAATGGGAAAGACATTCCTGGATGGAAAGAGCAGATAACTATGAGAGGCATTATTGCTAGCTTACTGATAGGAATCATTTACAGCATCATAGTAATGAAGCTGAATCTCACAACTGGTCTTGTCCCAAACCTCAATGTCTCAGCAGCTCTTCTTGCTTTTATATTGATAAGGACATGGACTAAGCTTCTTCAAAGGGCCAAATTCGTCACAACCCCATTCACTAAACAAGAGAATACTGTCATTCAGACATGTGCTGTTGCTTGCTATAGCATAGCTGTGGGAGGTTAGGACCAATAATAACAACAATAATAATATTTTCATTGAAAACTATTGCGTATTTGGGTTTATTTCATTCTTTGGGTTTTATCAGGTGGGTTTGGGTCTTATCTGTTGGGATTGAACAAGAAGACGTATGAGTTAGCTGGGATTGATACAAATGGGAATTTGCCCGGGAGTTATAAAGAACCGAGGCTCGATTGGATGATTGGCTTTCTCTTTGTTGTTAGCTTTGTGGGGTTGTTGGCTTTGGTTCCTCTAAGAAAGGTGTGTTTATTTTTCAAGACTTGTGCTTTTCTTTTTGTTCTTTGTTATTTAACTACCTTCTCATTGTTCGTGCTTTTGGGCAGATTATGATTATTGATTACAAATTACCGTATCCGAGTGGAACTGCAACTGCTCTTCTTATCAATGGATTTCATACTAGCAAAGGAGATAAGACGGCCAAGTAGACGACTTTTTTACTTTTTCCTTTTTAGATTTCATCAAAATGATTTTATTTTCTAGTGGGATGAAATCAAGCTTAAATATTTCAGGAAGCAGGTTGATGGGTTTATCAAGTTTTTCTCACTCAGTTTCGTATGGAGTTTCTTTCAGTGGTTTTATTCTGGCGGTGAACAGTGTGGATTTATCAATTTCCCTACCTTCGGCTTAAAAGCTTGGACCCAAACGTTCGTTCATTACACCTTTTTGCTCTCTTTTGCGAACAAAAGCAACCTTATATATGTTTTTACCCTTTTATTCTTGAAAGGAAAAGTAATATATCTTACAAAGAATTACCCTGTGACATATTTTTACCTCTTCAGTTTGATCAGCTTCTCATCACCCTAATATGAGAATATTATTGAACTCTGCAGATTTTACTTTGATTTCAGTATGACCTACATAGGAGCTGGGATGATTTGCTCCCATCTCGTTAACTTATCATTGCTATTTGGAGCTGTTCTTTCGTGGGGTGTAATGTGGCCATTAATAAGTGAGCGAAAGGGAGACTGGTTTGCCCAGAATATCAAAGAAAGCAGTATGAAGAGTTTAAATGGTTATAAGGTACATGAGGCTGACATTTTTTTTTTTTTTTTTTTTTTGCTCTTTATTTGTAGCCAGTTGTGATATCATAATGATAAAACTGGTAAAAGATGAAGGTGCAACTATAGAGCGTAGAGGCTTTTTTTTTGTTTATTTGAATATAATTTTTGGAGGGAATAGCATAAGAAATAATATATATATTAAATTGAAAAAAAAAAAGTGGAAATGAATTGAGGAAGTACTATTATAAGTTATGAGACAAAACAATGAAATGATGATAGTTCATAGTTGGTTAATACAAAATTTATAAAATAATGGTTAAAAATGATCAGTGACAGTAATTAGAATTCACTAATTTTACTTTTTTTTTTTCAAAGTGTGTAAACATGATAAGGGAGAAAAAAGATTGAAATGATTTTTCTCTTTTGAACGTTGTAATGTTTTACTCTTCCAAGTTTTTCTCTCACGACTACTTCAACTCGTTTTTAATTTTAATTTTTTTAAATCAATTTATTACAATTTTTTTTCAACACTTATACTATTTTACCAACCAACACAATCATTTCTATCTATCTATCTATCTATCCATCTCCAGACCACGAGGCTATCGAAACCCTTGACGACCTCCGGCGCAACGAGGTATTCATGCGAGACCGCATCCCAGTGTGGGCAGCGTGCCTCGGCTACACCCTATTCTCCATTGTCTCCATCATTGTGATCCCCATCATGTTTCCCCCTCTCAAATGGTACTACGTCCTTGTGGCTTACGTGTTGGCCCCCTCCCTCAGCTTCTGCAATGCGTACGGGTCTGGCCTCACCGACATGAACATGGCCTACAACTACGGGAAGGTCGCCCTCTTCATCCTGGCCGCCCTCGTGGGCCCTGCGCACAACGGGGTGGTGGCGGGACTCATCGGTTGTGGCCTCATAAAGTCCATCGTCTCCATATCCTCGGATCTGATGCACGACTTTAAAACGGGCCACCTCACCCTCACCTCCCCCCGTTCCATGCTCGTGGCCCAGGCCGTGGGGACCGCCATCGGCTGTGTTGTGGCGCCCTTGACCTTCTTCCTCTTCTACCGCACGTTCGACGTCGGAAACCCAGACGGCGTCTACAAGGCGCCCTACGCGCTGATCTACCGCAACATGGCCATCCTTGGGGTCGAGGGCTTCTCGGCGCTGCCCGCCCACTGTATGGAGCTCTGCTACGCCTTCTTCGCCTTTGCGGTCGCTGTTAATCTGGTGAGGGACGTGGTGCCGGGGAGGTACGGGAGGTGGGTCCCACTCCCGATGGCGATGGCGGTCCCCTTTTTGGTGGGGGCCTACTTTGCCATCGACATGTGCGTGGGGAGCCTGGTGGTGTACATGTGGCACAGGTACGACAGGCGGAGGGCCGGGTTGATGGTGCCGGCTGTGGCTTCGGGCTTGATTTGTGGGGACGGGCTCTGGATACTGCCGTCGGCTTTGCTGGCTCTGGCGAGGGTCACCCCGCCCATCTGCATGAGCTTTTTGCCTGCCATGCGCTCATGNTTTCGAAATGACAGAAACTATATATATAAAAGCACATAATTACATCTAGAAACAGCCAAACAACTAAGAGAAACAACTATAAAGCCGAGTCTAGTGAGATGACAGACCTAGAGGTCGCCTAAAGCCTGCACTAGAATCACAGAACAACACACCCACAAAACAAACTACAGCTCCCACAAGCGGAGAAAACGCGCTCCCACTAGTGGAGAATACACACTCCCAAACGGGAGAATATATGCTCCTAAAGAGGAGAATAAAACCATGAACTGACACAAACGCACTAAAACAAACACAGAAGCTAAATAAAAAAAACACACACACAATTTAGTTACAATAAAGCGTTCCTCAACAGTCGACCATAAGCTCCTACCCACCAACTCGAGACCGACAATCGACAACGAAACCAAGAAAGCAGTCAATAGCCAGAGAAGCAGACAACGAAACTTCGTTCTCCAAGAAGGAGTTGACTAGCGACATCCGCCGACACTCGAGCTCGAACCCACTCCCCAGCTTATCCCCACCAGAGAAACACATGGAAGACCACTCTTCCCCCTTCCCCCAACACACCACACTGCCGCAGCTCCGAAAGCCCCAAACAGTTGAACCCCCGTCGGTACCCTAGGGAAAATCGGACAAAGACTAGGGGAAGAAAGCCCCGCCCAGCACTAGCAGTGGACGATGCCGCCAACCCCATCACATAGTCAAATCGCTGGAAATGTCCCACAACAGACATCCGAAAAAGAAGAAAAGTTGCTTCGAGAAGGATACCAAGACACGACGGAGAATGGGAGGTTACCCTGTTGATTGTCAGCAACGAGGTGTAATGGATCTCCAGACTGAAGAGGATGCCAGACGGAGATTCAAGATTTGCGGCCAAGAGCTTGATGGAGAATGGATCGCTACATTGCGAATTAGTTCAATTGTCATTTTCAAATAGCTCAGATAGAGGGGGGTTTGGTTCGGGTTTTTGTTGTAGAGCAAATACTTTTATTGCCAGATGTGATTCTTGTTATTGTCTTAAAATGTTTAATAATTATGCCATAGGGAATCTGATATGGGATACCATACCAGATCGACTTGACACGAGAAGCAGTCCACTGGAATCAGATAAATCAGGAGGTTGATCGGAGGTTAGAAACCACAGAGGTCGCTAGAGCATCAGGTCGACGGTGACCCCACTCGTTAGGAGATGCACCAACAGGTCAAGGTAAGGCCCTCAGATGGCCTGGTAGAAATTAGACTTGGAGGTATGCAGGTCGATGGATCGACCTGAGAGACAGTATGCACGAGCACAGTGAGGAGACGATCTAGCTAAATGAAGGCCGAGATGGTCATATGATTACCCCGTCTAATAGAATAGATAAGAATGAATACTATTAAGATAAGAACACATGTGGATTGGGCCATGTAGCCTAACAGAATCAGGCAGTATGCAAAGATAAAAAAACAAAAGAAGCAACCGCATCTCCATCTTGAAAGCTCCACCAACAACGGCGGCGGCCGAGATTCTTAAACTCCATCACTCTTTTCCTGGGAGACTTTTGCGAAAAGGAGCTCCTTGCATGGGCCCTCCTCCTGAGGTCAGCAGCCACTAGCCTCCCATCATCCACCTGAACCGTCCTTGTAATGCCCCACTTTTTTTTNAGTAATTAAGTTCTTTTTTTTTTCCAACGACATAGCATGCTCTATTCATAAAACCATAAAATGGTAATGTACAAATGATCAAAGTCTGCCTGGGTAACTGAGAGGCCATGCAAATACAATTGCAGCCTAGCCGAGCCAAATGAACAAACACCAAAGGAAACTACATAAATCAACCACTCCAACAGACATATGACACACACAGTACAAATGACCCAAACACAACCAATAGATACAGCTAATGAACATAAGCCAAAAAACTAAAAGTAAAACCACTGCCAAACAGCCTAGCTCCATTTTAGTTCCTGCCATTTAAGTTCATGAGTTGGTGCCATCAAAATCAAGCCAGTCCCTCAGTGCTGCCTTTATGATCCACCTCTCTGGTTGCAGATGGCCTTCAAAAACCCAGATGTTCCTTGCTTTCCAGAGCCACCCTAATATGTAAGTGGATAGTTGGATTCTCTCTTCTGATGTATCTTTGAAGTCCATACTACTGATCCACCACCACCATTGTTTGAAGGTAAGATGTTCTTGGTGAACTCTATTCCACTGCCACTGCACAAGAGAAATCTGCCAAACTTTTACTACCCTGGGACACTGAAACAAAATATGCTCTTGAGATTCAACAGCTTCCCCACAGACTTTACAGAGAGGATCAATGTCAAGGCCTCTGGAAACTAGGTTAGTGCTGATAGGAAGGATATTGGAGAAACACTTCCAAATGAAGATTTTCACCTTACCCATCACTTTGAGGTTCCAGCATCTTGATCTAGCTTTTTTATTCCCCTCAGCCATTGTACTGCTCTCAGCCTCATCTTGGGTATTTGAACTCCCAGCAATCAACAATGAGTAAGCTTTTTTGACTGAGAACTTCTTATTGGCCACAAAAGAGCAATTCCACATATCAGCTGTCCTTGGATTCAAAGTCTGGATTTGCAATATTTTCTCAGCATCCTCAGCAACAAAAATGGCTTTAACCAGATTAGTATCCCAATTACACCCTCCTGCAATCAAAAGGTCCTTAACCTAGAACAAATGGTTATCAATAAGGATTCTGAGCTCAGGTTTCCCTCCAGCCAACCCAGGGACCCAATAATTCAACTTAGTGCCAGCCCCATTTTTAATAATGATATTCATATGGTCTTTGAGAACAGGCAGTAAAGCAGCCCAAGATTTCCACAACCATGAGTCACTACTGGTTTGTGTCCAGTCAAAGATAGAGCAAGAAGGAAAATACGTACCTCTAAGAACTTGACTAACCAGTAGGTTAGGCTGATCTACAAGTCTCCACAATTGCTTCAGGATAAGAGCTTTGTTCATGAGTCTGATATCCAGAAACCCCAGTCCACCATCAAGCTTTGGAGTAGCCATTTTATCCCAGGATTTCCAATGCAAACAAGGGGCTTGAGAACCCCCTTTACTCCACCAGAATTTAGCAACTAAGCTGCAGATAGTCTTGCACAAACCCACAGGAAGCATTAAACATGACATGACAAAAACAGGAAGAGCCTGCAACACAGATTTGATCAAAATCTCCTTTCCAGCTGTGGACAAAAGATTATTCTTCCAACTTTCAATTCTCACTCTAACAGAATCCTCCACAAACTGAAAAGCCTCCTTCTTAGAGGCTCCAATGCCTAAAGGAAGGCCAAGATATCTAGAAGATCTTTTCACCACCACACTCCTCAAAACAGAACAGATTTTCCTACTCATATCAGTCCCACAATTCTTGCTCAGAAACATTGATGATTTATGCAAATTAACCTTCTGTCCTGTAAAGCACTGATATTTATGCAGGATATCCATTAACAGCAAAACATGAGAATCATCTGCCTTGCAAAACACCAAAGCATCATCTGCAAATAGTAAATGTGAGAGCATAGGCCCATTCTTTGCAATCTTAATACCTCTGAACCGACCAACACTGATGACATGATGTAAAAAAGAAGAGAGAGCCTCTGAAACCAGGATGAATAAATAAGGAGAAAGGGGATCACCCTGCCTGATCCCCCTAGAAGCTCTGACAAAACCACAATTCTTCCCATTCAGATTAAAAGAGTAAGTAGGGAAAGAGATGCAGTTAAGTATCCATTTAATGAATGTGCCATGGAAACCCATTTTATGCATGATTTTATTAATGTTGTTCCATTCCACTCTGTCATAGGCCTTTTCCATATCTAATTTAACTGCCATAAACGCATGAGACCCAGACCTATGTCTATGCAAAAAATGGAAAACCTCATGGACTATCACAACATTATCCAACAAATTCCTCCCAGGAACAAAAGCAGTCTGTGCAGGGCTAATACAGGAATTTAGGCACAACTTAAGCCTCTCAGCAAGCACTTTGGCAACAATTTTGTACAGCACACCACAAAGAGAGATAGGTCTGTAGCTACTTAAAGATTCTGGATACAAGCACTTTGGAATAAGAGTAATAACTGTGTGCTTCCAATTTTTGAGTAATGTTCCAGAACTGAAAAAGCTTTTAATAGCAGTACACACATCCACTTTAATAATATCCGAAAAATGCTTAAAGAAAGAGGCAGACATACCATCCTCCCCTGGTGCCTTGTCAGATTCCATCTTGAATAGTGCTGCTTTAATCTCCATCTCATCAACTGGCTGAATGAGCCTGTTATTAGTATCTGCAGATATGGAGTGTGAAATATGCTGTAGCAGCTCCTCTCCACCTGCAGAGCCTTCAGATGCAAATAGGGAAGAATAAAAATCCACCATATGAGTTGCAATAGTCTCTTGAGAATCACAAATAACCCCTGAATTGGTGACTAGCCTCTAAATCAAGTTGGTCTTCCTTTTTTGAGCAGTAGAAGCATGAAAAAATCGGGTGTTTCTATCCCCCTCTTTCATCCATATAGCTCTGGACTTCAGCCTCCAGTAATTCCCCTCTTCTTTGTGAGCACAATCAAGTTCAGCCTTCAAAGATCCCCATTCATCCCAATCCCTTTCATGCCCATTCAACCTCATCTCCTCCAATCTAGAAGTCAGAATTTCGATAGTCTTCTCAATGTTTCTACTAATTGGTTTGTGCCAGGCTAGTAAGGCCATTCTAGTGCTCTTAATCTTTTGTTGAACTTGGTACATTTGAAATCCTTCCACAGAGATTTGCCAACCTGCCTTTACTTCATCTGATACACCCTCCATTTTAACCCAAGAGCTATCAAACTGAAACCTTTTCTTCCTCCTACCCATCTCCATCTCTGTATCAAAAATCATCACATTGTGGTCAGATGTTGTTTTGTAGAAGTTAATAACCTCCATCCTAGGAAAAGACAGCATCCAATCATATGATATGAAGACCTTATCAAGCCTCTCTTCAACATATCCATCCTCTGCTCGGTTATTTCCCCATGTAAAAAATGCTCCCTTCTGATCCATTTCTTGCATTCCCATATTGGCAATGAAAGAATTAAAACCTCTAAAGCTGGATTCAGGCCTCCTAATACCCCATCTCTTCTCCTCATTACAGGATATATCATTCCAGTCCCCAGCCATCACCCAACATCTACCCCAGGTCTGCTTACTGTTCTTAAAAAACTCCCACTGCCTTTCCCTTTCATATCTGTCTGTGCTCATATAAACAAAAATCAGCCAGCACCATTCTCTTACCCCTGCTCCTTTGGCTTCCACTTGAATGCAGAAATTATTGGCCAACAGCTGCCTAATCTCTGTATTTGTATCCCACATCACCAACATACCTCCTCTAGTACCAATAGGTTTTTCCAAGAACCATCTACTCTCAAACCCCAGCTTCCTACACACAGTATTAGTAAATGCCAAAGATTTTTTAGTTTCTGATAAAAATATAATATTTGGGTGGTGGACTCTTTTAGAGTCCTTGATCTGGGAAATTGTAGAGGGCCCACCCAGCCCTCTACAATTCCACACCATAGCCTTCAGTAGTCACCTTGGGGCCACTTGAGGCTGGCCTTCTCCACCTGAGAATCATCACTATTGTTGGTAATATTTTTGGGCAAGTAATAACCGAGTTACCCGACTCGGGTCGTTCTCTAAGGAAGGTTAGCCGGATTAAATTGTATGTTTATTCAATTCACAAAAGAGAAAATATTCCTAAACATTCTAATTCAATTTATAATGGGGTTTTTAAACTAAATTAAAAGTAACATAAATGCTATCATTTTACTCGGAAAACCTTTCAAATGATAAAGTCGTTTTACTAGTAAATACTTTCTAACGATAAAATCGTTTTACTCGTAAATACTTTCAAACTAAAATTTGTTCTACAAAAACTTTCAAACAAATAAATTGTTCTACTAGTTAAATACTTTCAAACTATAAGTTGTTCTACTAGTAAAAACTTTCAAACAAATAAATTGTTCTACTAGTTAAATACTTTCAAACTATAAAGTTTTAAGGAAGAAAAGAGAATAACTAAAATGACAAAGATAAGTTTTAATAAATGTAAAAGTCTAGGGTATTGGGGATAATCAATTCCGGTTTTATTAACATTTATCGGTAATTAAATTACTCAGTTAAACGATTCACTTAATTTACTCATCTAGAGGTTTATCCGTACTAACTCTCGTAATATACGAATAAACTTAAATAAATGAATTAGTGGAACGGTTAACACATAAACAATACGTTTCCGAACATGTCTATTCTAAACAAATCAAGTTCTATCAACTTCGCCCCTTTCGGTTATGAAATCGATTATGTAGATTAAAATGGTGATCAAACATTTAACCATAATATTAATAAAATTTGTAAAGATTGAGCAATAAAAATACTTATAAACGATAATAAACCGAAACGATTATCCCCTAACCCTAGTTAGGAAATTAGTTACTCATAGTAATTTTAACATACAAATTCTTATGTAAATAAACCATTATAA